AGCGCGGTAGTTGCGTTTATTGACGGGCTCCAGATTTTACCGCCAATAAGAAATAGGCGGTGTAGCTTATACCGCGTTTGCAGTACCTTGGGTACACTGTCAAACCAAGTGTCCTGATGCAGAGTTAATTCTCCTCACCTGGACGCGTGGAGTTTGGTCGTTTGATGTTAAGAACTCCACTCTTGAAGTGTGGGGACTGCGAAAACTCTGCACTCTCAAGTGCGGGGACTGCAAAATCCGCACCTCTGCATTTCAAGTCCGCACCTGGTCTCACAGTGTGCTGCCAGTGTAGAGTGTAGTTTGCAGTGTAGCCACGAACGGGCCTTCCAGAGAGGACCGCAATGTTGGCGCGGGCCGTCGGCGGCGTGGTCGCGGTCAGCCGGAAAACGGGGAGCGGCAGACGCGGTCTTGGGTTACGGAGGTCAGGGGCGTAACCAGAACCTCGCCGGCACCGCGGCCACACCCTCGCAGTGCCGGGAGAGAGAGAGAGAGAGAGAGAGAGAGAGAGAGAGAGAGAGAGAGAGAGAGAGAGAGAGAGAGAGAGAGAGAGTGAGTGAGTGAGTGAGTGAGTGAGTGAGTGAGTGAGAGAGAGAGAGTGAGAGAGAGAGAGTGAGAGAGAGAGAGTGAGAGAGAGGGAGTGAGAGAGAGAGAGAAAGAGGGAGAGAGAGAGAGCGGAGGGGGAGGAGGGGGTTGCCTGTCCAGCCGGCGGCGGCGGCAGTGCCAGGCACACGCAACAGGCTGCCGGCCCGTCTGGAGCTTGGTCTGGAGCGTCTGCACTGCAGACTCATTCCGAGAGTCGCTTTCGTCGCTCTGTCCCTCTCGCACTCATGGGGCGTCCCGTGTCGATGCGAGCGAGACGGAGCGACGAATAAAGGACTCCCGGAACCAGTCTGCTGGAGCGTCGCGGAACAAAGGATCCTGGAGGATGCTGACCCGAACGCGCGAACGAGATCGCAATCGGCCCCCGGAAAGGAGGCCGTGGAGGGGGAAGGGGGGGGGGAGGGGGAGGGGCGGGGGCGGGGGCGGGGGCAAGGCCGTCGCGCCGTGCGGCCGATGTCCTCCCGCTGCTCGCTCCAGCCACTCCAGCGGTCTGGGCCCGGGGCGTCGACTCGACGGTCCTTTTCGTCGCTCTGTTCCTTTTCGCACTCGCGGGGCGCCCCGTGCAGTGCGGGCAGTGCGAGCGAGACGGAGCGACGGACGAGGCACGGTTCGGTCATGCCTCCATGGCACTGCCCGCGCTGCCCGCACCGGCAGGGATCCGTTTCCGTTGCGGCCATTCACTCCCACAGAGAGAAGGAGAGAGAGAGAGAGAGAGAGAGAGAGAGAGAGAGAGAGAGAGAGAGAGAGAGAGACAGACAGACAGACAGACAGACAGACAGACAGAGACGGCGCCACTATCCGAAATTTGGCCAGGATGCTGACCGCTGATGCCCCCCGGCCCGGTAGAACTAACGGCGACGCGTGACGATGCCCGACGAGGTTCGCGGGAAGTACGCGGGGAAACTCCGCCGAGGGGCCAGGGACCTATCAAGCACGAACCGCGAATCGCGAATCCAAAAGGAGAGGAGGGGAAGGACGTTGGCCGCTTCCCTTACACTGACGCCTACACGCTAAGAATTTCTTCGATACTACGACGGGAGCGCGTCGAAGCTTCGACGGGAGCAATCGGGGCATTTTTCGTCGTTCTTCAACGAGCGCGCGTCGAACACCGGGCTCGTAGGATTTGCGACCTGGTGGTCTCCGATGGTGTCCCCGAGGTCCCCAGGACACGGGGAGTCCAACGCCGAAGTCGCCGACGCTCTTGGACAAGCGGTTCCGGAGATACGAGGACGTACCAGGAGTCCGTCAAAGCAACTTTTTAGTTGGAGGCCAAAATCATCATCGGCCTCTGGCTCCGTTCCATTTGGGTGTCCGGGACTTTTGACTTCAGCATCGTGTCGAGGTAGTGCTTGACTACCAGGAACCCATCAGCGGTCGTCGTCGGACCTCCGGTGCGCCCAGGATGCCGACGAACGAGGGTGCTGTGCCGCCATACGGTACAACAACGTTGACGCCACCACCCAGGTGGCCCCTGGTGGTGTCTTCGGGGTCTTCAGGACACGGGGAGTCCAACGCCGAGGTCGCCGACGCTCTAGGACAAGCGGTTCCGGAGATACGAGGACGTGCCATAAGGAGTCCGTCAAAGCAACTTTTTAGTCGGAGGCCAAAACAGCTTCGGCCTCTGGCTGCGTTACATTTGGGTGTCCGGGACTTTTGACTTCGGCATCGTGTTGAGGTAGTGCTAGACTACCCGGAACCCGTCAGAGGTAGTCGTCCGACCACCAGTGCGCCCAGGGCGCCGACGAACGTGGGTGCGGTACCGCCTTACGCCACACGTCAGCGGCGTCGGTGCAAACGGCGTCAGCCCCGGCCGCCTAAGCTCACAGTGGCGTCGGAGGACACGGCGGCGGCAGCGACAGGTGGTGGCAACGGTAATGAACCGTAAGGCGGCACAGCACCCCCGTTCGTCGGCATCCTGGGCGCACCGGTGGTCCGACGGCTACCTCTGACGGGTTCCGGGTAGTCTAGCACTACCTCAACACGATGCCGAAGTCAAAAGTCCCAGACACCCAAATGTAACGCAGCCAGAGGCCGAAGCTGTTTTGGCCTCCGACTAAAAAGTTGCTTTGACGGACTCCTTATGGTACGTCCTCGTATCTCCGGAACCGCTTGTCCTAGAGCGTCGGCGACCTCGGCGTTGGACTCCCCGTGTCCTGAAGACCACGAAGACACCACCAGGGACCACCTGAGTGGTGGCGTCAACGTTGTTGTACCGTATGGCGGCACAGCACCCTCGTTCGTCGGCATCCTGGGCGCACCGGAGGTCCGACGACGACCGCTGATGGGTTCCTGGTAGTCAAGCACTACCTCAACACGATGCTGAAGTCTAAAGTCCCGGACACCCAAATGGAACGGAGCCAGAGGCCGAAGATGATTTTGGCCTCCAACTAAAAAGTTGCTTTGACGGACTCCTTATGGTACGTCCTCGTATCTCCGGAACCGCTTGTCCTAGAGCGTCGGCGACTTCGGCGTTGGACTCCCCGTGTCCTAGGGACCTGGGGGACACCATCGGGGACCCCCAGGTTGCAAATCCTGGACACCTGGACATGGACCTCGGCGTCAAGGCCGCGCTCGTTGAACTACGACGGCGGACGCTTCGACGGGAACCAGTCGTTCCCCCGTTGAAGCTCGATGATTGGGCTCCGCTAGGCACGGGTGTCGAGTGTCTGTCGAGGTTCAACGAAAAGTTTGACGGGCCGTCGTCGTCGCTCAACGGGAAGCATAAGTTTCGCGTCGAACAGGCGGTTCCCGTCGAAGATACAACGGGAGGTGTCGAAAAAATTCTGAGCGTGATAGCGAGACAGTCACGTGCACTCTAAATGTTGTACAGTGAAGATTCTCCTTATTATGGTGAAAATGTTCCATATTATGGTGGTGCAGCTGACTCCATAACATACCATCGAGAATTCACTGTACCTATTATAGTTATTTTGACGAATTTTGTTGGTATTATGGAGAAAATCTCCACCATAATATGCTGGTGCAGCCTTTCACCGTAAGACATTTACAGTGTGAACGGCAAGGCAGAGCAACACTTTGCGCGTGTAAGTTGGCAAAAAGTGCTTCTTTTCCCCCCTCAAGCCACCTCTGGATCCGCCATTGGGACCAACGCATGGCAGCGGCCAAACCACGGACCAGCCTGCAGGCTAGCTTGAAATGCGACTTCCCCGCCGCATCCTACTTCCTTCTCTCTCCCTCGCTGGCAGCACTGTCTCTGTCGCACCCTTGCGGGACGCCCCATGAGTGCGAGAGAGACAGAGCGACGAAGGCAGTGCTCGGAATCAGCCGGCAGGTTGATTCCGCTGGCAAGCGCTTCCCTGAGCGCCACCGTCACCCTGTCACCCTCTCACTCACGACCCGTCCCACAGGAGAGCGAGAAAGAGAGCGAGAGAGAGAGAGAGAGAGAGAGAGAGAGAGAGAGAGAGAGGCAGAGGCGAGTGCTTGCTCGCAGGACGTCGTGTCGTCCACACACGCGTTAGGTCTTTGTTCCCAGTTTAACTCGATGGCCGTTCGCTGCCCTCCCCGTCGCAGCGCCTGTCTCCCTCCCTCCCTTCCTTCCCCTCCTTCCCCTCCCTCCCCCCCCCACCCCCCTTCCCCTCCCTCCCCCAACCCCCTTTCCCCCTCCCGCCCCTCATTTCCGCCTCTCCCTGTCGATCTTTCTCGCTCCCCTATTTTCACTCTCCGTCGTCTCCGTCGCGCTCTCACACGCACACGCGGACCGCGCACACTCTCTCACACACGCACTCTCTCGCACGAGCCGACGCGTCGCGGCGCCGCCGTCCCGAAGGGCCGAAGGGTTGCGTCGGCAGCACTGGTCTCCTTCCTCTCTCGCAGTCGTGCGGTGCGGGCGGCTCACTGTCAATCCGACTCTCCACACTTCAAGTGTGGAGTAGCTCACAGAGCTTCTACTCTTAGGTCGGGGCAAACGTGGGGAACTCCCACACTAGTACTTGAAGTGTGGAGACTGCAAGCACTGCACTTCCCAAGTGCGGTGAATGAAAATTCCACACCTCCGCATCTCAAAGTGTGAAGTGGTTTCACAGTGGGCCACGCACAGGGACGTCATCGTGAGGGTCCAGGTCCGCGTCGCACAGTGGGCCAGAAGACCGATGGAGGCGGTCAAAATTCTCGACGAGTTTTGAGCTCGCTTCATGGGACTCGAGCCGAACGTGTGACCCCACCAAAGGACTCCTCGTTTAGAGAGCAATCCATTAGTGGGGTCACACGTTCGGTTCGAGCGTCCCATGTATAGCGACTCTGGAGCTCAAAACGCGTCTCGAGTTTTGACCGCCTCCACCGATCTTCTGGCCCACCGTGCGTCGCCCCGTTCGTCCTGCTCATGTCCTGACGGTCCTGACGCCTGTGTCCTGACGGTCCTGACGGTGGTGTTGGTGTTGCAGGCGGCGAGGCCAGCTGGAGCGAGGCCGACGCGCTGCGGGTGGCGGCGCAGCTGCACCGGTCGCTGTCCGAGACGGGGCTCGCGCTGCTCGTCAACCACGGCGTCTCCGAGGACAAGGTAATCGCCGTTAGGGCTATAAACTGAAGACAACACTCTAAATATGGGGTATGCCCAGAAACTGGGCGCCTTTGTCGCCCGCCCCACTTTTTAGGGTGCCAAATGTCGCCCAGTTCCTGGGCGCCTTCACCCGTGGCTCAGCAGCGACTGAGGTGCCGAAGGTGCCCAGAATCTAGGCACCCTAGTCGACCAGGATCTAGACACCTGAGCATGCTCTACCATGGGAGAGGGCCGGTTACTGTATGATTTGTCCACCCCGAGACTGGGCGACAAAGGTGCCCAGAAACTGGGCGACATTTGGCACCCTAAAAAGTGGGGCGGGCGACAAAGGCGCCCAGTTGCTGGGCACCCCATATTTAGAGTGTAGGGGCGGATCCAGGGGGCGTCGGTCTGGCGTCGCACAGTTGGCCCGGCAGTCAAAATCTCGGACTCATTTTGAGCTCCAGAGTCGCTAAACAGGACTCGAACCGAACGTGTGACCCCACCAATGGATTGCTCTCCGGACGAGGAATCCATTGGTGGGGTCACACGTTCGGTTCCAGTCTTGTGGGGGCGAAACCGCCTGAAAGGTAGGCAACAAGTCACGCTTTGCCCCTGCAGGTAGGCAACCTTATTGACCCTCTCTTCCATGTCTGGATCCACCCTTGGGCTCTAGAGCCGCTTTAGAGTTCTCCTGAAACAAGCCGCGCGACAAAGATTATGCATCCGGGACCGCCACGCCAGACAGCTAATCATTCCGCCATCCAGGCAGGGCAGCAGTGTGGCAGCCAGTCGACTGATTCCGCGAGACGCCCTCTCTCTCTTCCTCTCTCTTTCTTCTCTCTCTCTCTCTCTCTCTCTCTCTCTCTCTCTCTCTCTCTCTCTCTCTCTCTCTCTCTCTCTCTCTCTCTCTCCCTTTCTCTCTCACACTCTCTCTTTCGTATGCGACCCAGTGTGCGAGAGAGATGGACTGGGTGGAATCAGTCAATTAGTCTGCAGGCCTCGTTTCCCTACTATTCGAGCCTGTTCCAGTGCTGTGACGTCACGTCACTGGCAAAGCCATGGGCAGGCCCCGCCCTGCTTCCTTGTCAACGTCCTGCTCAGCCTTGACTTTGTGGCGCCAAGCCCAGCCAGCCAGCCGGCCAGCAGACTGATTCCGAGAGTCGTTTTCGTCGCTCTGTCCCTCTCGCACTCGTGGGCGTCCCGTGTGTGTGCGAGGGAGACTGTGCGACGAAAACGACTCTCGGAATCAGTCTGCAGGCAGGCAGCCAGACAGCCAGACAGCCAGCGATCCGCGCGCCGACGCCCAAAACGGCCAAAAACGGAAAAGGACTCGTTCCCTCGCTTTGTCCCTCGCTTCGTTCCGACACATGCAAAGCCATGCAAAGAGTGTAGTGTACTGCCCGTACAACATGGGCAACGTACAGCGACCGCCAAGCCCGGCGCCCGGCCCGCCCCGACAGCAGACTGAGTCCGAGAGTCGGTCCGTCGCGCTGTCTCTCTCGCACTCGAGGGGCGTTGCCTGTCGGTGCGAGAGAGACAGAGCGACGAAAGTTACTCTCAGTGTGCTGACAGAGCGAGCCAGAATCTCGTCGAGTCATGCAAAAGGAGGCCAGGTAGAATTCGACTTCGACGGTAATCTAGTGAAAATTGGGGCCGTTTTCAGTTTTTCGAAACGAAGGCCGTGCTTTGGTGGGCAGCAGGCTGGACGCGGATGCAGCAGAGGAGACGACGGGCGTCGCGTCACACAGTGGGCCAGAAGACAGGTGGTGGTGGTCAAAATCCAGGACGCGTTGAGCTCCAGGGCCGCTAAATGGGACTCGAACCGAAAGTGTGACCCCACCAATGGATTGCTCTCCGAACGAGGAATCCATCGGTGGGGTCACACGTTCGGTTCGAGTCCTGCTTAGCGACTCTAGAGCTCAAAACGCGTCTAGAGTTTTGGCCGCCTCCACCGGTCTTCTGGCCCACTGTGCGCTGGGACAAACGTTACCTAATGCGCGTAGTGCTCTTGAGCAGGTGCGGATCCAGCAGGTAGGGGACGGTGGAGGCGCAACCACTGCCCTGAGGCGACGGGCGGTGTCACGTTGTGCAGTGCAAGCATGGAAGTTACCGGGCCCGAAACAGCATGTGTGGTCCTGCCTCTCAAGTTCAAATTCAATGTGCGACGCCGCCTGGACGGCAGGCAAAAAGTCGTTCTCCCCACAAGTGCATGTTGGCTCGGTTGGCCATTGGAGGCAAATTGGCTGGCGAGCCTGGACGCCACTGGCGCTGCGCGTTGCTATGGAGCTTATGGAGCCACCTGTTGCCTGGTCCTCTGCCCGTTCCGTTCCCCCCTCGGCCACTCTGGCCTGCCTGGTTTGTCTGGCCGGCCGTTGCAGTGGCGCGGAAGGCGTGGCGGAGGAGGCGATGACCTTGCTGGTTCCGGTAGCCATCCGCCATCTGCACTCACAAAAAAATAGCTCCGAAATTTTTAGCCGAAAACACCTGTCTGCACATGTTGCACAGCACTGTTAAACCCAGTGTGGAGAACTCCACACTTCCTGGTGCGGTGTGTTCTCCGCACTTGGACGTGTGGAGTTTGCAGTCTCCATACTTCAAGTACGGGTGGAGTAGCCCACAGAGTCCCTCTCTCTTGGCATGGAGCAAACGTGGAGAACTCCGCACGAAGAAAGAAGTGCGAAGACTTCAAACTCTGCACTTCCAAGTGCGGAGGCTGCAAACTCCACACCTGCGCATTTCAAGTGAGGAGTTCTCCACAGTTGGTTCCTCAGTGCCCCCTTCCCCCACGCTAAATGTTTTTGTACAAATTTTACACGAGACATCACAGTTTTTGTGCACACGAACTTTTCGTACCAATTTGTACGAAATTTTGCACAAAAACAGGGCATTTGTGCAGCTTTTCGTACGAAAATTGTATGAAAAGTTCGTGCGCACAAAAAAGTGTGATGGTGCCATGTTTCGGTGTGGGGCGTGGCGATGTCCTGCGGACTGATCCTGAGAGGCGCTTTCGTCGCTCTGTCTCTCTCGCACTCATGGGGCGTCCCTCGTGGGTGTGAGGGAGACGGCGACGAAGACGACTCTGTAAATCAGTCTGCTGGCCGCCGGTTGCGCCGCCGGTCTCCCAGGAGGCCAGTGCGCTATCGGTTGTGTAGCACGTCCCCGTCGTCGTCCCCGTTGCCGCCGTACCTTGGCGTGGCGTGGCGTGGCGTGGCGTGGCGTGGCGCGGCGTGGCGTGGCGTGGCGTGGCGTGGCGTGGCGCGGCGGGTTGGCGTGGCGCGGCGTGGCGCGGCGTGGCGTGGCGTGGCGCGGCGTGGCGTGGCGCGGCGTGGCCGTGGGGGCGTGGCGGGCGGGCGTGGCGCGGCGTCGGCGTGGCGTGGCGTGGCGTGGCGTGGCGTGGCGTGGCGTGGCGTGGCGTGGCGTGGCGGGGCGGGGCGGGGGCATTGCTCCGCGGCCGGAGCCCGGGCCACGGACCCTCGGATGGACCGAGCCTGAACCACCGCACTGTGGCGGCACGCCGCGTATTTGCATAGGCTCGAGTGAGACGCCCTGGGAGTCGACGCACCGCTTGTTGCCGAGCAAGGTTTCCCACTCCACTCGACCGCTCCATTCAAACTTCCCGCCAAAAGAGACCGACCGGGCAGCGCCGCGGCACTGCGAAACAACTCCACACTTGAAATGCGGAGGTGTGGACTTTGCAGTCTCCGCACTTGGAACAACTACAGCTTGGGCTGTGGCCACCCTAATGACCGATGTCGCCTCTGGTTGTTGCAGCTCCGCGCCGGCTACGAGGCCATGGACCGCTTCTGCGCGCTGCCGCAGGACACCCGGGACGTCTACCGACGCATCCCCCCGCACCAGCACGGCTACGTGGCGCCCGGCACGGAACGGTGAGGCTCTGTCTCTCTTGCACTCATGGGGCGTCCCGCGTCGGTGCGAGAGAGACAGAGCGACGACAGCGACTCTCGGAATCAGTTTACTATGGCCCCTGCGGCCTCTGTTGGAAGGCACATTCATGCCAACCATCCAGCCACCCATCTCTTCATGAGCTCTAGGCCGTGCCGAGAAGGACTTGGGTTCAAATCCCAGGTAGAAAGCCAATTTACGTTTTGCGCCGAAGCGTCGCTTTTGGCAACCCCAGCTACGTGTCGAATGGGTGGCCTACCTTGACGGCGACTAGCAACCTGCAAAATGGGTGGCCTACCTTGACGGCGCGGCTCTGCGCAAGGGCTAGTTCTTCCAAACAGTCCTGGATGTCGGCTCCCTGAGGCCAAACTGAGGAAATTGTTGTCATGCTTTAGGAGTTTCGTTTCGCCGGAACAAACATATTTCATTCATTCGATTCATTTATATTTTCATTTATTTCATTCATTTGATGCCGAGGGGGTAACCACTCCAAGAAATCCTGTACAGAGTACTCGGTATTACGCGGTATTACGCTGTATTACAGGGTTATTACACGTGTATTACGGCATCAAAATGCCAAAATTTGGCTCATTTGGCACAAAATTGATATTACAGTTACGTGTATTACGCGTAATACACGGTTTTTGTGTACAGGGTATTACGCGAGTGTTTACCCCCTCGTTTGATGCATTCATTGGCCCCAGGCTGTCCGAGGAGTGGATCGGCGAGATCCGGCACACGTTCAACGTGAGCGTGTGCGACTGCTACTGCCAGCACTCCGTGTTGGCGGGCAAGCTGCCGCCGCACGACGAGGTGCCCGGCTTCCAGGAGGCGGTGGACGACCTCGGCCAGGACTTCAAGCGCCTGGCCAGGCTGCTGCTGCAGGCCGTGGCCGTGGGGCTCGGTGAGTGAGAGTGACGCACAGTGGATTTGCCCGGAGACCGGCGCCGGCGGCTGAAACTCTAGACGCGTTTTGAGCTCCAGAGTCGCTAAATGAGACTCGAACCGAGCGTGTGATCCGATTGCCCTTCGAACGAGGAATCCATTGGTGGGGTCACACGTTCGGTTTGAGTCCCATTTAGCGACTCTGGTGCTCGAAACGCGTCCAGAGGTTTACGGATTTCCATTTCGCTGTCAGCCGCATTGCCGGAGTCGTCGTTGGTGCCCTCGCACTGCACTCACCCGTCCTTGTCTTTGCCCTCCATTCCAGAGCTGCCCGTCGACTTCTTCCTGCAGCACCACAAGGGCATGACCGAGGAGGGCGCGGTGCGCGCCGAGGGAAGCCCCACGACGCCGACCATCCAGATCGACCCGGCGCCGCCGTCCAGCAGGCCGTCGAGTAGGCCGTCGAGCACGCCGTCGTCGCGGCGGTCGTCCGAGGTGGACGCCAACGGGCACGCCCTGCACGAGGGCAACGAGTCCTCGCTGCGCCTCGAGTTCTACCCGCCCTTCGGCGCGCCGCCGCCCGCCGGGGTCACGCGCTGCGGCGAGCACACGGACTGCGGCACGCTGTCCATCCTGGCGCAGGACAGCGAGGGCGGCCTGGAGGTAAGTACGAGCCGCCGCCAAGCACAGTGGGCCAGAAGGCCGGTGGAGGCGGCCAAAACTCTACTCGCGTTTTGAGCTCCAGAGTCGCTAAAAAGTACTCGAACCGAGCGTGTGACCCCACCAATGGATTCCTCGTTCGGAGAGCAATCCATTGGTGGGGGTCACACGTTCGGTGCGAGTCCCATTTAGCGACTCTGAAGCTCCAAACGCGTCCGGGATTTCGGCCGTCTCCACCGGTCTTCTGGCCCACAATGCCAAGTCGCTTTGTCTCTGTGTCGCCCACGGGGCTTTGCGCAGGGGTGCGAGAGAGACAGAGCGTCGAAGCAATGAAGCGGTTCTGCAGACTGATTTCGAGTGCCGCTCTTTCTCTGTCCCACCTATACGGGGTGCCCTGTGAGTGCGAGAGAGACAGAGCGACTTAAACTACTCTCTGAAATCAGTCTCCTGGTCGCTGGTCGCGCTCCCTCTGCAACCAACGACCGTCTTTACCAAACCTGTCTTTGTCTCCAGGTGCAGACCGCCGACAAGCAGTGGGCGCGGGTCGGCCACTTGCCCGGCGCGCTGCTCATCAACACCGGCGACGTGATGAGCGCCTGGACGTGCAACCGATACGCGCCCACGGTGAGCACACGCAGTGGACTTGCCAGAAGGCCGGTGGAGGCGGCCAAAACTCTAGACGCGTTTTGAGCTCCGGAGTCGCTGAATGGGACTGGAACCGAACGAGTGACCCCACCAATGGATTGCTCGGTCGGGGATCAATCCATTGGTGGGGGTCACACGTTCGGTTCGAGTCCCATGTAGCGACTCCGGAGCTCAAAACCCGTCCGGTATTTTGACCGTCTCTGGCCCTCTGTGCGTGACCAGCGTGATCCCCCTCCTCTCTCTGCGCCTACACTGTCCCCAATCCAGGTGTGGAGTGGAGTTTGCAGTCTCCACACTTCAAGTGTGGAATGGCTCACAGAGCGCCCATCTGTTGGCATGTATACTCTGACCAGAAAACGAAGAGCCCTGAGTTCTCGCGGTTCATGGCCTCTGCCGCCTTGGCTAGCATTGCAGGTAGTAGCCCTCGACCGCGAGGAACCAGGGCTCTTCGTTTTCTGGTCAGAGTATAATGGTGCAAACGTGGAGAACTCCGCACTTGGTTTCCCAGTGGCAGGCCGGGCCGCGGAAAGGGCCAGCCAGCGCGCTGTCATTCCCCACAAGAACGAACTGAAAGTCTCTGTCTCTCTGCCCGCAGCTGCAGCGCGTCATCGTGCCGGAGCAGCCCAAGGTGCGCGCGCGCGGCCGGCACGCCGTGGGCTTCCTGGTGCAGCCCGACAACGACACCCTCATCTGCCCCATCGAGCGCCTGGCGCTGGCCGCGCAGGCCGCCAACGGCAGCGCCGGGCTGGCCGGCCACTGCCTGCAGGGCCCCATGCGCGCCGAGCTGTTCGTCGACTCGAGCCGCCGCCGGAAGCGCTCCTTCTACGCGCCGCACCACAACATCGCCAGCAGGCTGAGGGAGACGGCCGCGTCCTGAGGCCGAGGCCGCCGACGTCGCCGCCCCACGAGTCCCGGTGCCGAGGCCGCCGACGTCGCCGCCCCACGAGTCCCGGTGCCGAGGCCGCCGACGTCGCCGCCCCACGAGTCCCGGTGCCGAGGCCACGCCGACGACGACGCGACGCCCCGGACTACTGCCCTCCCGTCCCCGCGACTCATTCCCGTCTCTCTCGCGCCCACACGGACGCCCCATGAGTGCGGAAGAGACAGAACGGCTCTCAGAATCAGTCTCCTGGCGACCTGCGCCTGTGCAGCCGACTGACTGGCAGGAGACGTTTCGTAGCGCTGTCTCTGTCGCACTCATGGGGCGTCCCGTTGTGCGAGAGGGACAGCGAAAACCGGAACGAGTCTTCGGTGTCACTGCGCTCGTCCGCACTTCCCCCAAAGGCCGTCTGCCTCTACGTAAGACAGCTTCTCCTCCACCAGAAGGACTGACACCCCCCCCCCCCCAAAAAAAAAAAAAAAAAAAAATCATGTGGGAGATGAGACCCTAGCGGAGAGGGAGACGGAGGGGCGTGAGGCGTGCATATTGACCCTCCGAAGTCTCAGCAACTTTGACGAGTTGTTTCCGTTGAGGGACCGAACTGGCCGCTGGCCGTTGTTCGCCAGGACTTGATAGCCCGGAGGAAGTGTGCGAGTGAACCGAATGCGCTGCAGTGTAAGTGTTCGGCTACCTTGACGAGGCTTTGGCACTGCGGCAGTAGGTGAACACGCCGCGACCATGTGGGCGCTACTCCCATGAGCAATCATGGGTCTCTCTTCCCGACAGGGCAGGGCCGGCAGGGCGGCAAGGCCCAGGGGATTGCCCCCATCATCAATCAGTATGCTGGCCAGTAGATGCACGCAGAGATTGAAAATCATCAACTCAGCACAGCAAAATTTCTTCGCTCCGTCATGTTCACCAATTTGGAAAGAGCGCCATGTAATTGAGGGCCGCCAACCACAAGTTTTGACGATTAAAAACCAGCCAAGACACCTAACCGCCCATCAAGATGATTGTGTATTTATTGCATTCGAACTAGACCAATAAAACATTCCAAAGCAATGGTTTGTTATTTTTTAAGCCTGCCTAGTGCAGGGGTCGTTTTATTTGAACAAATTATCCAGCACAGCCCTTAACATCAGATGTTTCATAATACATAATGCATCTGCATCAAAGAACCTTAAATACAAAAATATCAAGCAATTATACATAAAATCACATTTACAGTTATAAAAGTTTTATTCTGGGCACACAAGTCTTAATAAAAAGAAAAAAAGGAAACAGAAGAAAATCAACTTTTTCACCGGCGAACAAAATGCTTGGAGCACACATCAATTTTCAATGACATACATGAAGCTTGGAAAGTATAATCCAAGTCAATGAATTTAATCATGTTCCAATCTTCACTTACATTTACATGCACACAATCAAAAAATTTAAGGAAGTTTAATCTACTTATTACTTCTTGTACACTAATCCGTCTGTCCCAGATGCTTTCCGTTTTTCTTGATAAGAAATTGCAGAAGAAACTGATAAATAGAAAAAAAGAAATAAGACACATTTATTTTAAATGAAACCAACAAGGCAAGAACAGAAACTCAACACTTACTAGGAGTTCTGCGGATGCGATTTCCAAACAAATTTGCTTGACGGAAATTTGCAGCCTCCTCGGCAAGTTTGTTTCGCTGAAGCTTCTTGGCAAGCATGATATTCCGCAGAGGAACAACGCCAAAGCGGGTGGCACCAAGTACTCCCTCTAAAGGTACATAATCAGACTGGAGCAACTTTTGCTTTTCCAACTTACGTGCTGCAACAATATTTAAAAACATAATGTTAAAAACATCAGATACAAGGGCAGAAGAAATAACACAACACACATGTAAAGGAACATAACAGAAAATAAGAGAAGGTACCTAATATCCTAGCTTTCTTCATTTCACGCTTCTTAAGCTCTTCAGATGACACTGCATCCGCAGGAACTTTCTCTTTGGAACCATCAGGCCGTTTAACATACTTCGTTGCTGGTTGCTCACTGAGAGATTCCAGAAGGTCAGTTGGCAGACGCTTTGGTGGTTTCTGAAAGAAAAAAGGAATTTAGTTGCACATTCTTTAGTGTAAATAAAATAAATAATAGAAAAATGTACTTACAACTTTCTGACTAATGCCTTGGTCATCAAAGATGATTTTAGAAGATGAAACAGGAAATCCACCTAAAAGTACAAATCAAGATTTGAAAAATATTTGACAAAAAAGTGATTTGAGAAGCAAGGAAAGAACTTACCTTTTTTAGAAGTGTGGCTTCCAACATCTACATCAATAATATTTTTCTTCTGCTTCAGCATCTATATACAAACAGAGGAAATTAAATTTGGATTATTCAATACAGTAGACAAACCAAATGCTGACGAAAAACAATTGATATAATGCACTATACCTTAGCTGATTTCTCCTGCCTTCTTTTCTCCTGCACTTCTTTTATTTTCTGCTTTTTCATCTCTTTTTGCTGTTTAATGTTCAGTGCTGCCGCCTCCATCAATGCAAGGGCAGCATTCTTTCCTGCAGCAAATGAAACCGATGTGGGTTCATCTTCAGAATCAGAACCATCAGCTGTACTGGGGACCAGTTCCAAGACCCTCTTTTCCTTGAGTTTCTTTTTATGTTGTTTTGAAGAAACTTCCTTATTTTCATCAGGCATCAGCTTTTCTTTCTTTTTCTTGAGCTTTTTCACCTGTGTTTTTCCACTTCCTGAATGAGTTGCATTGGTGTCATCAACTAACATCACCTTCGTGCTCGAATTCTCATCCATGTCCACAGTCCCATCAATCGAAGACAACTTCCTTTTCTTCTTTTTTTTCTGTTTCTGTAAATCATGGGAAAGTACATTGCTGAAGTTTTCTTCTGAAGCTGAGGATGGCTGAAGAACTGAATCCTTGTTCTTTTTCTTCTTCTTTTTTATTTTGAGAGCTTCAGTCGTAGTTTCTTCAACAGAGTGATTTTCAGAGGCTAACTTTTGTTTTTTCTTCTTCTTCTTAATGGAAATATCTTCTAGAGGTGCCTCATCGCCCAGAACACTTTTCTTCAATTTCTTCTTCTTGGCCTTCAAAGGAAGCTCTGCCGTGGGTGCATCGTCAACCAGACCCTTTTTCTTCAGTTTCTTTTTCTTGTCCTTTGAAGCAGGAGGTACTTCAGCATTAAGTTCCATTTCTGTTGCAGTGATAGTCTTAGCCTTCTTCTTTTTCTTCTTGCAAGCAGTCTTTACATCATCAGGTAAAGTATTCCCGGTTCCTATTTCTTCATGGTGATTGCTGACACCAGTCTCCAAGTCAGCACTTCCACTCTTTGACCTCTTCAACTTCTTCAACTTTTCAGCACTTTGAATGTCGGTCTCAGCAGGCTTTTCATCATTCTTCAGAGGTGAAGGTGTGTTATTTTCATCGTCTTCAAGTGGAAGGTCACATTCTGACTGAGAAAGGGTCTTTCGCCTTTTGCTGGAAGTTTTTTCAGATAAATCTAACTTTTCATCCATAACATTTGAAACCTCACTCCTAGCCACATTTGCCTCTATGCTTTTCTTCTTCTTGCTACTTTCAGGGTGAGGACTGATTTGAGTTTGATGAGTATTTTCTTTGTAATCAGGTTTGGTTGCAGCTTCAGCAACTTCTAAAGATCTTGCAAAAGATTTTGCCATAGATTGTTTTAAAGATTTTATCTCATTCACACAGGTATAGGAATTCCATTCCTGCTTCAGTTTCTTCCTTGCTTCTTTCTCTGCCTTTCTTCGGGCTTTCTTCTCCAACCTTATCTCCTTCTTGCTCATGGTTGATGGAGAAAAGACTGTCTGCAACTGACTGTCATCAGAATCATCATCATCAAAATCGGAAATCTTGCCACCACTCATCAAAACTGCAGCAGCTTGGTAAACTTTAGTAGAACCCAGCTTCTTTTGAGAGGACACTTTGCTAGTAGTAATGCTTTCTTCGTTAGGGACATCTTTAGTAGGGGTCTTCAAAAATCTCTTTGATGAGTCTAAATCTGCAGCATCAGCAAGCTGGGACACATTATTCTCATTATTAATAGACTTGTTCAAATTGCTAGGTTTTAGGCTGCTCACTGACATTTCTAAAGCTTGTTCACTGGTTTCAGTATTGGAGGCAAAAGAATCATCATCGAACACAGTTGACTTTTCCAACAGATTGCTAGGGGATGTTTGTCGTTCAGGTTCATTGCAAGTCTTGTCAGAGGCAGGGGTAAGACTGCGTTTCTTAGATGGACTATCCTGCTTGATGGGAGACAATGTCAATTCACCCATTCCAAATTGGCTTCGGTCATTTGCTGTATTAGAGCTGTCCCCAATTCCACCTGATGAATTAGAGGAGTCATTTTCATCCTCTGAATCGTCTGGGTATGACGTTGAAGGGTTGATCAGGGGTCCCATTGAAGCCCTTGCTTTCTGGTCAGATATCAATGGTTTCTTAGAGAGGTTTCCTGTAGACGCACGTCTTGAAACTTCACTGGGGTTCAAGTGACTGAAAATTTTGGAGGACAGCTTGAAGGAATCATTGCTGGCATCGCCATTGGCATGATTGGCGTCATTGTTGGCATCATCATTGTCTTCATTGCTTGCATCATCATCACTACTGGCATCCTCCTCTTGATGGTGAGAAATGTTCAATATCTTGCTTGGAGTTAAAGATGGTCTTCCAGTTGACTTTGTTGAGGATGATGTTTCGACTTTGCCCGATAAATTCAGTTTACCCACTGACTCACGACGTTGAGAAGGATCTGCAGATGAGACAGAGTCTGATTCTTCATTATCAGAGACATGCTCCATTTCATCATTGGCTCTGAGGCCTTCTGGTTGTGGTGACTTGTTTGAGGACAAAGACAATCTACCAATGGAGCTGCGCTGCGATTCATTGAGCTGCACCTGAGGAGTATTAGGTGACTTTGCAGGTGAAGCCTTAGCTGGTGTTGACTTATTGAATGACAATGAAAATCTGCTTAAAAAGGTATTGGGCGCATCTTCATCGGCCGATTGGGGAGAGCCACTGTCTGATGAATTTGCTGGAGACAACTTGTCTGAAGAGCCACTTGTACTTGGGGTGGAAATATGCTCCTGGGTGGCCACAGCTTCAGCCTTTGATGACTTGGATGGCGTGGCTTTGTTGGAAGATAATGACAACCTGTTCACTGAAGTCTTCTGGTTGCTGTCAGTATTTGACAGTTCAGGATTATCAAATTGAGGAGACTTGGCTGGTGTTGATTTATTAGAAGATAATGAAAGTCTACTAAGTGAGGACTGCTGACTTTCAGTATTAGACACTTCAAAAGTATCAAATTTAGCAGATTTGGCAGGTGTTGATTTGTTCGAAGACAGTGAAAACCTACCCTTGGTCTCAATATCAGACACCTTAGAGGGACCAGCAGGGCTCTGAAGCTTACTTGGTGTAGCCTGCTTAGAAGACAAGGACAATCTGCCCAAAGAGTTCCTCTTCTCGACAACCACCTCAACTAAGCTTGGGTCAGTTGAAGAATCTTCCACATCAAATATTTGCTGATCAGTGCTGCCTTTGGTCACACTAGAATCTGGACTGGAGGAATTCTCTGATCGCAATTCTTGCAAGCCCAACAATGGGGATTTTCCTACAGAGATCTTTCGGGTGGAACTTCTTGTAGAATTGTCGAGCTCACTCTTTTCTGGCAGGACAGAACTATTAGAAGTAACGTCTTGAGAGGCTTCATAAGATTGGACATTTTCTGAGCTGGCAGTTTCAGGTTGAGACTTTTTAGGAGACACTCCGTCAGACACATCAAACTTAAAAGGGGAAGACTTGCTGGAGAGCCTTCCAGCTGATTCTCTCAGAGAACCATTCCAAGTCAGTCTGGGTGAGCCAGCATTTTCTTCTGTCACATTTGAACGGTTGTACATAAAGACAGCGGGAGATCTAGATTCCGAGTTGACCTTATCTTCACTTTCAGTTAAATGTAAATCAGACTTTAAATTTTCAGCAGGCGATGCTTTGTTTGATGAAAGAGATAGTCTTTTGGAACTCCGACGAGATCCGCTGAGAGATAAATTAGGAGAACTGTCAAACTTCTCAATCAGTGATGGTGACGATTTGTTCGGCGTTGACTTGTTTGAAGACAGTGATAAACGTGATGACTTGTTTGCAGACAATGACAAACGGCCGACAGAACTTCTGGCTTTGTTAAATTCTACCTCAACATTGCCTTCATCATTCGATTTTTTCTCCACATCATGATTGGACTTCACACTATCGTCCATAGGTGTTTCCACAAATTTTAGAGGAGATTTTGATGACAATCTTCCCTGCGACCTCCTTGCAGGCTGACAACTTTCTACACCATCAGTCTTGGAACTGGTATCTTCACCCTCAATATGTTCAGACACAATGAATGATGATCTCTTGGTCTTGGCAGAGTCTGAATTGTGGAATTGCAATTGGCGAGGAGTGCCCAATTTCTTCTCCGATTTATCGACCAAAGGGCTGCTGTCTTTACTTGGGCTAGTTTTTGAAGCTGGAGAAGTTTCTGGAACTTCTGACATGGTACTGACTTCAGAGAAGGTAGGAGACGGTACAGGGGACAAGTTCTTCCGTGAGCGGGTCCTGGGAGATGCAACAACACTCGAAGTTATGGAGGAGACACTGCTGATGGAGCTACGCCGGGTGCGTCGAGTAGTTGGCAGACAAATTTCTGGTTCTGGTTCCAGAGCAGAGGCCATGGAAGCTCTTGTGCGCCTCGTAACAGGCCTTGACTCTGACATGGCTGTGGGTTTAGACTCTTCCTTGGAGTTAGCCTTCGAATCTTCATCGATGCTGCTCAGCTTGCTTGATCGACTTGACAGCGGACCTTCGTCATTCCCATCCGCAAACGACTTCCTGACAGATCGCCTCCTGGGCAGTGCCTTGCCGGTGTCCGGCTCCTCTTGAGAAGCAGGAGCCTCATCTTGGTGCGCCGCGTCGCTCCTCGCGGCGACCGCCGAGCGCCTTCTGGTGGACACGGTGGGCTTGGGGGACATGGGCAAGGGAGCCTCCGCCGCAGCAGCACTGGGGGCGCTGGAGAGCCGGCGGACTTGGCTGCGAGTCACTCTGCTGGGAGAGTCGATGAGCGACGACAGGCGCCGGGATTTCGGCAGGGCATCTGCGAACGACACAAACACACCGCTGAATCAACAAATCGACAGTGACTGATTCAGTTTCGAGCAAGTTTGGAGTCCCCGGCTCCGACACACAATGGCAATTCAACACGTGTTGGCGGACCCAAGTCCAAGTCGCACTTTACCACTTTTACCTAGTCTCGGGGGTGAGTTCTCGTCCGCTGCGGACGCCATGGCTGCTTGGCTTCAGTTCCGCGAACGATGACGGCAATCACTCGGTTTCTGCGACAAACTTAACGGATAGAAAACAGTGCACGACGTTCCCGCGCCCGTTTCCACCTTCGATGAACCCTAACCTACGCGTCGGCCGCGGCCGTCCCGTGCAATATTCGCACAACAAACAACAACAACATCAACAACAACAAAGGACGCACGCAGCGCTCTCTATCTTTTGCCGGTGGCCGCGCGTGGTACCTCAGAGGTTGGTACTGCTTCCACCAACTTCCACCAATTTTCTCTGCCGTGTCACGTCGAAACCACAAAACAGTACGAATTCCTGAAGCATCATTAACATTCTAAGGCATCCCGATCAACTTAATTTCGCTCTCATTAGCGTTTTTTCACGCTTTAAAAAGTAGGTGGTGGTGGTGACGTCACGAGTGGAGCGACGGTGTCGCCCCCTTGCAGGTTCTGTCTGTAGGTTGCGAGCTGCGAAACCAAAAGGTAAACAGGAGTTTGTCATTCGTTCATAATTATGTAATGTGCTTTAATGCCGTATTCCGATTGCCACCTGTATGATCCATTCAAATTGTTGCTTCGTTCAGGGAAGTTGGAGGACCTATCATGGAATTAGTTGATACCACTGCAGATGAGCAGGAGAAGGTAAATTAGTAGTTGTTGCATGGGTTCTTGTGAAGAAAGGGGAGTGGATTGCTCTTTTGCCTTTTGAGTTTGTGATCAACTAGTATAGACATAATTTTTCTCGTGTCACACGCCCCTTCTTCATTGAAGCTTTGCCATCTTAGATTAAAGTCAAATATCGGAATATTAAGACTGTCTATGTTTCCTGCAGGTGAATTTTCAGGACCTCCCGAATGAGGTGATACTGTTGATCTTTTCTCACCTGTCCCCAGAAGATCTTGCCTGCCATGCAGCTAAAGTGTGCTCGCTATGGCTCCGTATTGCTCGGGATCCAGTTTTGTGGAACAAGGCAGCCCTTGTCTATAACGATTCTTATCCTTTGCTATTCAAGAAAACTATCGTATTTGCCCCCTATTTTGCCAGACTTGAAATCAACATGTTTAAATTCATGACTGAAGATGTAATTCAATCGATTTTGTCTGGCTGCTCATCTATAAAGAGTTTCAGTTTCTATCCACATCATTCAATGTCTCTTAATGATAAGTTACTTATTCTAAATCATTTCAAGATGAGTGTTCAAGTGATGAGCATGTTTTTAGATGACTCTTACCTGTCTTCTAGCGGTAGTATTGGTTCACTTTTTCAACTACTAAGTAACATGAAGTGTTTAAAAAGCTTAACACTCCGAGGACTCATCCCTTCCAAATGTCTGACTTCAGATATTTTTTGTGATAATTGGAAAAGCTTAGAGGCCTTGGATATCAGTGGCCTCGCAATCATTTATCAATCAGAGACTCCAGACTTGCAAAACCTGAATCCATGGCAGAATTTTATTCTCAAAATGCTGGAGAAGAAAGCCAAGTCCTTAAAAAAGTTATTTTTGCCTGAAGGTGTGTTTCATCATGATCTCATAGGTGCATTAGAAGAAAAATTTGTATCATCTAAAATAGAAAGCCTTAAAATCTGTGAAATGTGTCTTTCTGTTGTCAGGAAATTGAATTTCCTTGCCTCGCTACATGTAGTTGGATTACCAGCTAAACTAACACATAATTTACGCTCTGATTGCTTGTTAAGAGGTTTGCAGTATAGCTCAATGTTCAATTGGATTGGAGACACTCCTCAATTTTTAAGTATTACAGATCTAACTTTAGAGAATGTAAATGATGATGAAAGAAGTGTAACTTTAAAAATCTTAAGGGCTTGCCAAAATTTAAAATGTCTAACTTTAAGTTCAGTCTGCCACTACCCTACAGAGCTATCGACCATTATATTGCAATCACCAGCTCTGAAAAGCCTGAGTATTTACCGCACCCCTTGTTTAAGATCAAAGCATTTAGATCTATTCCCAACCTATCAGCCGGACCTGGAGTTGCTCGACATTAGATACAACACTCTTACAGATGGCATACTCCGGTATTATAGAGATGTAATTCAGTCCAAAATGCCTCAGTTAAAATTAAAATGTGACTGGGGGTATTGGAATGTATGTGGAGGCCAGCCATGGCCTAGACCATCTGCCTCTGTGTCCTCAGAGTCAAAGCAAGGAGCAGATAAATCATTTACTGTGGATGATCAAGCAAAAATTAGGATGGTGTTAGATTCAGTAAATGACTATGGAGAAGATGATTAAATTCTGTTTTTTCCACATTCAGAAGGGCTTCATTTTTTTTATTAAAATTGTAATAATCTTTGTAAAATAATAAATTTATTGCTTTTCCTCTACATTGGTTTGATTTTCCTGTATTTATTCATCTAGCATTTAAATGAAAGGTTCACACCAACATCATTTTGTTTCAGATTGCACTCTACCATATTTAACAACCCAGATTCCTTTTAGAGGAGAGGTGCTGAACAATGGCTGATTTCCTTGCTGAAAATAACCCTTGTGGGCAGACCGTGGTACGATTGGTATCAAGAGGCAATGCCATAATTGCTGAATTACTCCGCCTCAAGGATTTCATTCCACCAGTCTTCAAGTATGATCACTTTACTGTCAAAAGTTAACTTTATATTTTGTGCCTACGGTCTAAATTTTTCACTTTCATTTTCTTGGATCCAGGTTGGAGACCAAGCAAGACCTCCAAAAGTACCGGGATGTAATATGTGATTTTAGCTATTTCAAGACTGCAGATGTTTTTGAGAATAATATTGAGGCTAATGTGGTGAGCATTTACTTCCTTGAAATTGACACTCACGAGTTCCCCTTGAAATTTCATTCTACCCTCTTTATCACAGGAACTGCAAGATCTAGATGAGGAATTTAGAGAAAATTACTCCGAAATATTAAGTCGATTTTATCTTGCTCTTGAAAGTATTCATCAGTATGTTGGTGATTTAAATAGATTTCTTAGTGATTTGGAAGAGGGTTTTTATATTCAGCAAACTTTAGAAAGTGTTTTCCAATGTGATGAAGGAAAACAGTTGATGGTATGCTAGGGTCATGGCTGTTTGTGCTATTGGTCATGTTATATCTGGGCCCTGTTAACATTCTTTTCTTCTTACAGTGTGAGGCACTGTACCTGTATGGTGTCATGTTGTTAGTTGTTGACTTTCACATAGACGGTACTGTCCGTGAGCGTATGCTGGTATCTTATTATCGATATAGTGCTCAGAGATCATCTCATGGAAGTAATGTTGATGATGTCTGCAAGCTTTTACGCTCAACAGGCTACAGCTCAGTGTCAGGTTCCAGGCGACCCAGTAATTATCCGGAAGATTTCTTTAGGTGGGGCGGTGTTCATTCTCTCACTCATATTATTTCTTTCTGCAAAAAAAATCAATTGCACATCAGGAAATGCTTCTGTTAATTGATGTTTGTTGCAGGCGAGTAGCATTACCTGAAGTATATGTAAGTGTAGTCCTGGGATGTTTGAGATCTGATGACATCTACCACCAAATGGCTGCCTACCCATTTCCAGAGCACCGTAGTTGTGCTTTAGCTGGACAAGCAGCAATGCTGTTCATTTGCCTATTCTTTGCTCCAAATGTACTCCACTCTCAAACAGCTCAGATGCGAGAAGTTGTTGACAAGTATTTCCCGGATAATTGGGTCTGTATGTTTTTTTTCTTAAATTTCATTAAATGTTTATTTTTTAAGTCTGTTTTTAAAATTGACTTCTACTTTTTTTTTTTTTTAAATGATAGGTGATAAGTGTTTACATGGGAATGACAGTAAACCTTTTGGATTGGTGGGAACCCTACAAAGCTGCAAAGACTGCCCTAAGCAACACATTAGATTCAGCTAACATCAAAGATCATGCCACAAGATTTGCTGCTAAACTCCAAGTGAGTTCTTCTTTCTCTGATTTTTTAAATTGTTTCTCTTGTAAACTTTATAAAATTATCCTCTGCAATTTTTCTTCAATAGAAATTAATACATCAAACACGTCAGTTGCTTCAAGAGGGAGCACTTAATGAAGATGTTGTTCTTGATCATGTGAATAAAGTTGTTAATCTTGTGCGCGAGTGCAATGTAACCCTCCGCTGGTTGATGCTCCACACTGCAGCCCTTCCTCCAGGTAACAACAAGAAAAAGAAAAAGTAGTGTCAAAAAGTGTTAAACGCACTGCTTATATTTGCTGTGCTCTTTTGTTTTGTAGCTGCTGATTCTAATAAGCGATGTCGCCAAGTTCGTGATCAGGTCATAATTGACGCAAAATATGAACCTCTTCAAATATTTGAATTGTTGTTGAACACTGCTCAATTTGAATTCAAATTCAAGGAACTTTTCAAACGGGTAACTATGTTTTGTCTTTGACTGCTGTTGCTTGCAAAGAAAGCATATTCAATGCATTAATTTGATATTTTTGGTCGGGGTGAGGTAGCTTCTTTCAGAGAAAACCAATCGTTGGAATAATGACAAAAAAGAAGCTGTGGAAAGAATGCAGGAACTTGCAGAGGCGTTTTCAGGAACAAAACCTCTCACTAGAGTTGATAAAAATGGTTGGTTGGCTGCCCTTTCCTACATTTCAATCTTTTTATTTTGCTGTAACAATGCAGCTTCATAACCTTTTTTCCCCTTTCCAGAAAATTTACAACTCTGGTTTTCTGAGATGGGAAAACAGATAGACTTATTGAAACATGAGGAAGCCACCTCTACTGGACGCAAGGTCGCTCAAATGATTGAGGCGTTGAATGAAGTGCAGGGTCAGTGCTTCTGTACTAATCCTTAGTTGTCTGATCGAACTCTTTCATTGAAAAGTAGTATTTTGTACTGATTTTAATTTGTTTTTTGGCTTGAGTAGAGTTTCACCAACTTGAAGCAAATATGCAAGTGAAGCAATTTCTTCTTGATACTCGAACCCATCTGCACCACATGGTCCGTGCTGGAAATATTAAGGAAGATGTTTTGATCACTCTTCAGATGATTGCCGATCTGAGTTATGCATGGGAAATTGTTGAGTCTTACACTAAATACATGCAGGAAGGCATCAAGAAAGACCCTGGACTGGTCATTAAACTAAGAGCAACTTTTTTAAAGGTCATTGGTTGTTGTGCACACATTCTTTGTACAGTATCTCAGTGAAGTTTTACTACAAAAGCAAGATTAATATTATAAAAATTCATGTTTTTTTTTAGTTGTCATCGGCATTGGAGACTCCCTTACTGCGCATCAACCAAGCTCGTTCAGCTGATTTAGTCTCTGTGTCACGATATTATTCTGGCGAGCTTGTTGCCTACGTCCGGACAGTGCTGCATGTCATTCCCGAAACAATGTTTGGTTTAATGGCAAGAATTGTGCATCTGCAGACACACGTGATCAAAGAACTTCCCACCAGACTTGAGAAAGAAAGGCTGAAAGATTTTGCTCAACTGGATGATCGCCGTGAGGTTTGTGTGACTCATATCTGTCTTCATTATTTGAAGTAATGTATTGTTTTGTTAATTTTTTAAAAATTTAGGTGGCAAGGCTGACTCATGATGTTTCCATTTTGACTGAAGGAATTCTCGCTATGAAGAGTACATTGGTGGGCATTATCAGAATTGATCCAAAGCAACTTTTGGAGGATGGAATCCGGCGAGAGCTTGTCAAACACATCAGTATAGCTCTTCATAATGGACTGATTTTCAACCCAAAGGCTAAAGTGAATAATTTTTACATTTTGATAGAAAATGGCACCCTTGTAAATTCGTTGAAGTGACTGACAACTCTTGATTTGTTTTGCTTATAAGTATTTTTATGTTGCAGGTTAGTGAATTAATTCCCAAACTGGAGGCCCTTGGGGAAACTATGGATGGGCACCGTAGGTCTTTTGAGTATATTCAAGATTACGTCAACATATGTGGCTTGCGAATATGGCAAGAGGAAGTTTCTCGTGTGATGGGATATAATGTTGAACAGGAATGCAATGCTTTCTTGCGAACCAAAGTGCAAGACTGGCAAAGTGTCCATCAAAGCAGAGCCATACCTATTCCCAACTTCCCTCCACCATCTCAGGATCCTGCCTCTGTGAACTTTATTGGAAGACTTGCAAGGGAACTCATAAGAATAACTGATCCAAAGTAAGTCCATTGATCCTTAATCTTCTTTGATTGCCTTCGATAAGTTCATACACTTTATTTAGACCATTTACTCTCTATATTTTCCTTTCAGATCTACTATTTATGTTGAACACATGACTGCATGGTATGATGTTAAAACCCACAAAGAAGTTATAAATATGAAAGTTTTCTCCAAAATTAACAAGTCAATAGGAATTGCTGGACTTACTGGCTTAGATAAACTATTATCTTTCATGATTGTCACCGAAATTCAGGTAAAAGGTCACTTTGGGTGTTGCTGCAATAATAATCCTATAATATTCTTTACAATAAAAATAAACATAACGAATTGTCTTTCCAGAATTTACTTGGAGCCTTGCACAAAGGGGTCCTAAAAGACAAAGCATGGTTAGAAATGTTTGCAACAGTTTCTAAAGGGTTAGCTCCAACAACAGGCGTTGTTAGTAAGTTGCTCCAACTCACCCCCCATCCCGAACTGAATCGAAATATGCGTGGCAACATTTTCACTCAAACAAAAATTTTACAATTGTAGGCAATCCAGCTAGGTGGTACTCACAGCACTGGAGTAGAGCTCAGAGGGTGTGGCCTCAAATTCTCGACTGGGTTCTCAAAGTGGGACAGATGCAGCTCCTACGCAAACACATTGGTTATGAGCTGAATGTGGCCTGCCGCTTTGATTCCAAACACCTTGCTGCTGCCCTGACTAACATGAACCTGTGAGTATCCTTCATTTGATTTTTGAGACATTTAAGGCTTTGGCTGTGTTTATTTTTATATTTCTTTACATAAATCTGAGTTTTCATGTGGTTGCAGGGCGTTACTGTCTGACGTTCAGGCACATTATCGGGACCCTGGCCGCCCCTATCCAAAAGGAGACTCCCCCTTAATGTTTGAGCTAACCACTTATCTTGATTGGGCTGGCATAGCTGATCCATGGGCCAAAATTTACGTCACCACCCGAAATTTGCCATACTTTGCACTACTTTGCTTCTTGTTTGTTTTATCCCAGTTGCAAAAATTAGCTTATGTGCGCAGTGTGGGTAAGTTGAAATGTTTTGTCTTCCCAGCTTCTAAACTGAATTATTCCATACTTAATGTTGTCTTGTCTTATCTTAGGTGGTTTGTCTTGCAAGCGCCCACAAGAACCTCTTGATGGGATGGCCCTAGTGCTGGGCATGCAGACAATACTGAAACAGTTTCACCCTGAGGTTGCAAAACAATTTTTGTTGTACATCAGTCAATTCGTTAAATCTCACATTGATTCTATTGCGCCGTAAGTATTGATGAGACTAAGATCTATGTCCTTGATTTGGTACCTTTTGGTAACTTGTTTTTATCATTATTTCTTGATTATTTCTGTTTGCATAGAAATGGTAGTAAAACACCAAGTGAACTGCCACCAGAAGTCATGAGTGCCTTGTACTTCTTGGAAGGATTTATCAAGGTCTCCGGGCAACCACGCCAGGTCTTATCAACCCACATTCCCAACACTATTCTAGATTTATACCAAGTGCTAGGATCTTAGTTCCACCCTGATAGCGACAGTTCTCCATTCTCCATGGACTTGGTTCATTGTTCTGTGATACTGTCAAATTATATTACAGTACTATGCATATAGTACATTTGTATGTTGTTGATGCCTTTAATAAATTTTATGCTGTCAAAAGATACAAGGAAAGTGATAAATCCACTAACCAATATCAAATATAATTTTTAGATTAGATAATAAGGATGAACCATGGATAAATCAAATCACAGTATTATGATTTTTCAAGTTTATTTTGCACTTGAAACAAAACATTTAAGCTCCCTGGCAAAGTCTTAAATTGTTGACATTTTAAAATAGCAATCATAATTTGTTTGTTATTTTAAAATAGTGCTTGGGGCATAATTTAGCTTATCTGCCAGGGGAACACAATTGCAATAGCTCATAATGATCCTTCAGTCTTAAACAGAGCCATATTGGCTCCCAATTTATAAGAATACTTATGAATAAGAATGTTCATGAACATATTCATGTCCTTTCCAACTTAAGTTGCCAACAGCTTGGAAGAACATTTAAATGAATCAATAATTTTGTAGTACATTGTAGTTGAACTACATGTAGGAAAATATTAAGTTAACAGTGGTGCATCTTATCTCAAGGAACAATAAGATAAGTGTTTGGCACCAGACTTTTTAAGTAGTTTTCAAAGCAGTCAGTTCTATGAATTCAACATCAAAAACTACTTACATCAACACAAGGAAATGGAAGTTAAGATGAGGTAATTTCTCTTGACTCAGTTACTAACTAACACATCAGTGTACAAAACATATTCCTATAAATTACAAATCAGTTAATCACAGCACAGCTGTAAAACTTTCACAAACTCATCATATGATTCAAACATGAAAACAAACTAATGTTCTCAATGGTAACTTCAATTCTAAACTGTTACCTCATAAGAAACAAAAATTATGCTAACCATTACAGGCAATCCGTTTCATGGTTTAACTACCATAACTTTACATGACTACTTATATCACAAAAACAACTGAAGTCCTCAAACATCAACACAGCACAGTACCAACCAGAAAAGCATTAAAGTATAGTGAATTTTCTAAATTAATGAGTAATTTAGCAAAAATTATACTTGATCTGAAGACTTTTTCCAATAATCCCACCGCATCTAAAAAAAAAAAATCTGCAATACTGCAACAGCAATATTTTGTCTTAAGGTGTGAAAGTAAGTACATGGTACTAAATAAAACCAACAGAGGAAGACTCGACATGACCTACACTCAAGAAAACCTTCACACTGAGTGAGCAATTAAATCTGTTCAATATAAATAACAATGTTAGAGTAGTATGGTAAGTATCAAGCCAAATGGGGTTGATGAAAGTGATCTCAAAAACTAAGAAACTGAAAACAAATGGGAAAGAAAATAATTGTAATTTGTGAACTAAAAACTATAAAAAATTTGAAAAATCATGTTTCTTTAAGCAACTAAGATCATTTCACCTTTTCGTCATTTTTATCACTTGCATCAGTCAACAATTTATTCTAAAAACAAAAATCAAAACAAATCTTAAAATGAAAGGGTAGAAGATACCAGAACATTGCGGTGACTTGTTGAACCCAACAACTCGCTGAGGCTAAATCTTCAATTTCATCTTCTATGATAAAAGAAAAGCAGAAATTATTAAAAGGAAAAAAAGGGGCTGCAGATGAAGAGAAACTCATGACGTCTCCAACCCAAGCAAGACTGCGCAACTGATGCTATCTCAAAGTTCAAAAGCAAATGGAAGATGGCAGGGCCGAATGGCAGTGAAAAAAGGAGGTACCTCATCTAAATAGTAGCATCAGTAACAAAAGTCAATAAGGCTTCTTACATTGTGAGGTTGAATAAATTGAGACCAATAGCAGAATTAATTGGACCTTGTTTGACAGAAGAGAGAGAGAACAGGCAAACATTTGCCCAAATGAACTAGAGAGTTGATGAAGACCCTGTAGCAGTTTGTGTGTAAATTATTTACACAACAAATAACATCCACCCAAGATGGAAACAAGCACAAAATGGTCATTCCACATCAATTGTTTAAAATCAACAGAGTGGAATAGATTCCAGTCTTGAATGAGCTGGACAGACCCTATGACATGACATAACATTCACTTTGACAAAGCTGCAAAAACATAATTCAAAGGAGCACACAGTAAAAAAATATGGACTCATTAGCAGCAGCCTTGAGATCGATTACAACTATAGATACATTTTTGGTATACAACATTGGTTCCTAACCCGCACAGAACGAACATGCTTCACTCTGGTATTATAGGTAATTTTAAAACTTTAGTTCAAAGGATGAAAAGTGAAGCTAGTTGCAGGATATTGTTTAAAACAACAATAAATTATAAGATATTTACAGCCACTTCTTAAACAATATTTGTAGTAGATCTGCTGACAATATTATGCCATTGGCATATCTCCAGAGTAAAGCACTGTGTCTTTCAGGAAAACAGAAGGAAAGGAAAAACAAGAAATAAAAAAACAGGAACGAATACACTGACACACTCACTCACACACACGCGCGCTCAAACACACACATTCAATACAACAATAGCTAATCACAGGATTGACACTACAATTAATCATATCCATTTTCATCACAACTTCATTTTGTGCTTTACTCTTTTATCACAATTGCAAACACTTCAAAATCCATAAGGGAGCATTAGAAGAACACTTGAGGCCTATTTCTTTTCAAGTACAATTGCAATTGTACCCATTTTGTCACAAATTCAGAGTTATTAGTTTTAAAAAGTTTTGTATCTGAAACAGTGACTAGGATTCTTTTAATACAAATCATCATGAGATCCACCTTGAGGAGTCTCCATGCTGTCCAAAAGCGTTTTCTTCTCTTCTTTTTTAGATCCTGGCCGGGATGTCCGTAAATTGGGCTCAAAACACGGCTGCAAAAAACCATATATCATGGTCACAATTTTTTATCAGTTCCATGGGTCTTAGGAGTAAAAGGGGCAAGTGACAACTAACAAAAAATTTAATACCATGCTAACTATTTCTTGATAGTTTTAACCCTTACCGTTTCACAAATGTTCATATTACAGCAATTTTCAATATTGATTTCACACTGATCAGTGGCAGGACTAGGACGATTGGTTAATGGTGTAGGAGTCACTGTCTTGCTTCCAATAAAGCGTTTTTTTATGCGGGGCCGCTTTCGAAGTTGAACGACTTTATACATAAGAAGAACCTGGAACAAGAGGAGTGTTTCCAAATCAAACCCTTGAAACAATGACAAATTGAGAAAGTGCATCAATATAGAGCTTGATTTAATAATGACTTACAACAGCCAAAAGTAAGAGAAGACATATACAGCCAAAGGTAATCACTAGAGCTGAGGCACTTCCACTCATATAAGACGACTCATTTTTCAAAAACATTTGATTTGCACCAGAAGGAATGAGGTATGTTGTTCTGTTAAAGCCATCTTCATGGTAATTGGGTTTCCCAAGAGGTGGGCACCTGTAACATAAACCACAATTGTAACATTTTTCTACAGTATTATAGCTGGCTTGATGGGGTAGGTGGGAGGCAATACTTACACGCACAGAGATTTAATATCTGATCCTGAATGCAACGCTACAGCAGCCAGGTCACTCTCACAGTAAAGCTGGCACAGCTTAGCTACACTGCTGCTTATTTCACATCTTTCACCATTGAATGTTTCATGACAATCGCATGTAGGCTTTCCCTCGACAATGCGGCAATGGCCATCATTCAAGCAAAATCCAGAACATGCACTTTGATCACATCGAAGACCTGTGTAGCCTTCGTCACAAGAACATGCTGGCCCTCCTCGCTTGTTGTCGGGTGAGCAAGACCCGTGTACACAGTAATTGAAACAAATTTCAGTTTCACATCTGTAGGTAGAGATAATCATAAAAATTATGTTAATATCAGCCTGTTGGGTTGAGACAGATACTTTACTAGAAATGAACAGTATCTTACCGCACACCAGTGAAACCAGGCAGACAACGACAAACTGGTTCTCGATCTTTAGAATAGAGAACAGCTCCATTGTTGAGGCAAAATTCATTAGAAGGCTTGTTGTCATTCCAATCTGCTTCGGTGATGTCCTCAGGAGCAGAAGTTGTGATGATAGTTGTAGCCTCCAGCTTTCTTGATTCGTAAGCTGATAAAATGGCCCTGCATTCTGCATCCGTCTTCGCCTCCCCAGCAACATAAGCCACTACATCCGTTGGTGCACTTTGGAACGCATAAACTTTGATAGGGTCAGAACCTAGGAAGTTAACATGATGAGTTAAACCAAGAACATTTAAAGGCGCAATGGGGCCTCATCTCCTTTTGAAAAAAAACTATACCTTGGAACAGAAGACTCTTATCTTTCCTCCAAACAGCATTATTGGTCCCATCCACCCAATATATGTAATCGGGGCCCACTGCCAGACTAAAAGGCTGGTGGTGCATCGACCGCATCACCTCCCTATTGCTGCCATCCAAATCACTTCTTTCAATAGAATAGTAGATACCCTCAAGTTCTTGACTCCAATACAGTTTGCGCTCTGCTTGGTCTACAGAAACTCCCAATGGTACATGCAAATCTTTGCTGACTATGGCAGTACGATTGGATCCATCTAAATTTGATCTTTCTATACTCGGAGCCCTAACATTAGAATTGGTCCAAAACAGATATCTGTAACAAAGTAAAACAAAATCAAGGTGAATAAGTTTTTTAGGGGAGAGAGGATTTCCCCAAAAAAGTAATCAAAAGATAAATTTGAACAGATAAGCCCCAAGCCTTATCATGTGCGTTCAAATTCACACCTACCTGCCACAGCTGTCAATGGCAATGCCCTGAGGAATTTCGTCCCGGAATTTATGAACCATTTTCACCACTTTGTTACTAAGGGACTGGCCATCCACATTCGCCATCATGATAGAATGGCCATATCCCGTTGTCCAATACAAGACATTGTGCATGGGGTCTAAAGCTAGACCATTAATTTCCCGAGGTTGTTCTGTAAGTCAGAAGAACAGCACACAATTAGGATATGAAGCCTCCTTCACCACATGTCAGAAGCTAGGCGGTGCAACCACGGCCCCCACAAACGTCTCCGATGTGGAGAGGTACTCCACATTTGAAGGGTGGAGACTGTCAACTCCACAACATCCGAGTGTGGAGAGTTACTCCGCACCAGGACGTGTGGAGTTTTCCACACTCACCGGTGGAGGCGGCCAATATTCTAGACGCGTTTTGAGCACCAGAGTCGCTTAACAGGACTCGAACCACATGAGTGACCCCATCAATGAATTCCTCGTTAGGAGAGCAATCCATTGGTGCACACAAATTCGGTTGAGTTTTTCGCCGCTAATGCACGAAATTGTACATGCACTTCTAACGCACGGACTTTGGCGCGATAGCACGATTTCGGCGCAAGTATGCAGGAAATCGTGCATTGCGCGCACAAATTCGTGCGTTGGAAGTGCTGTACAATTCGTGCATTAGCGCGCAGAAAACTACGTGTAATTTGTGTCGGGGTCACACGTTCGGTTCGGCGTTCGTTCAGCTACCCGAGCTCAAAACGAGTCTAGATTTGGCCGCTCCACGCCCTTGCGCACGGTGAGACGGTGCCGACAGTGCGGGCCCGAGTTACAGTGTACTCACTGGGGATGACGGGCACCATGCTGCCCGACTCCACGTCGAGGCGGAACACGCTGGCGTTGTCGTGGCTGCCGTCCGCCAGGTACAGCTTGTCGCGCGCCGGCGCCGCGGCCATGGACACCGAGGAGCCCAGCGTCAGCTGCGTCTGCATCTCGTTGATGCTGCCCCCGGCCGTCAGGGTGTGCAGGTGCGCGTCGCTGGCCACGATCACGTCTGCAACAGGAACACGCAGGGCGCGCACGGTCAGTTCCGGGGAAGTCCAGCAGACGCATGCCGAGAGTCGCCTGTTTTCGTCGCTCTGTCTCTCTCGCAGTCATGTCCCGCTTTAGGTTGCGCGAGACAAGGCGACGAAAACAGGCGCGCGGATACAGGGAAGGAGAGTAATTTTGCCCCATGACTGGAATATCGCCTGAAAGGTTAGGCAAAACGGCAAAATTGCCTGTAAGTGGGCCCAAACATCCAATTTCACTCCCCCCCGACGAAAACAGGCGCGGATACAGGAGAGGGAGGAGAGACGACTCTCGGAATCTGTCTATAGGTGGAGGCCGTCTAGGCGACGGGGAGGGAGAGGTCATATGGAAGGTTCAAGGTTCATGGCCACTCAAAAAAAGTCTACGAAGCGTCTGCTGTGGAACTCCGAAGAAAATGAAATGCCTTCGTTTTCTTTCGCACTATTACGAGACGTTTTTTCTGTGTTCGGTGACGAAAGCGGACCGGGTCTAGTGGTGACGGATGGATGGCACAAAGACAAGCCAGTATCCCACCGGACCGGCATGCCCAATACGTACCAACTACGTAAACAGAGGTCAAGAGTTATGCCCTCCGAAACGGGCCCAGTCCGTGGCCTGGCGGCCCAGTGGGGTGTCATTGATCGCTCTGTCCTCGTCTCTCTCCGAGGGGGGAACAGCTTCCAACATTCGTTGTACAAAATGTGGCCACATTCCACATTTCAGGTGGCAAAAACGCCTGTAAGTAGGCAACATGCGTGGCAAAAACGCCAGAAATCTTGCACATTCCTGCACATTCACACAATCATTGTATGTACACAAAATTTTATAGTGGATCATCCCTCGTCTCTCTCGCACTCATGGGGCGTCCCGCGTGGGAGCGAGGCAGACAGAGCGACGAGGACGACTCTCGGAAGCAGTGCGCTGGAGATGCGGACGCGACTTCCCTGGCTCGAGATTGAAAGCTAGTCGTCGAGCGCGGTGGGAGGGGAGGGGAGGGGAGGGGAGGGTGATACCCGAAGCCAATTGCTGTGTCCGTTGGCCGTTGGGTTCGTTGGATCGGCCGGCGCGGCCGGCACGGCAAGATGGTCACGTACGCCACCACCGAGGCCCGTGGCTAGACGGACCCGTGGCCGTGGCTCGCCGTGGCGCCCTCAAGGGCAGGTCGCAGGTCCCGGAGGAGAGCGCATCTCGCTCGTGGTTGCAGAGCAATGACGCAATGACTGCAGTGTAAAAAATTCCGTACTTTTGTACGGAAATGGTACAGAAAAATATAGTACGGAGGTACGGAGAAAAGTACGGAACGTTCCGTACTTGCTCCATATGAACCCATGTAAATGGGTACGGAAAAAACGTACGGAACGTTCCGTAGTTGGCAAGTACGGACGGTCCAGGCAAATTATTGACCAGACATGTTCCGTACTTTTTCCGTACTTTTTTCTCACAGTGTGCCTGCAGGCAGGGCGGGCAAAGCGACACGTTTGCAAATAGCTAGCTTCTAGAGCAGCATCAGACAGCAGACGGCTAGACGACAAGGCAGGCAACGAGCCGACCGGACGACCTCTCCACAGTGGGCCAGAAGACCGGCGCCGGCGGCCAAAAGCCTAGACGCGTTTTGAGCTCCAGAGTCGCCAGCAGGACTCGAACCAAACGTGTGACCCCACCAACGGATTCCTCGTCCGGAGGAGGAATCCATATTGGTGGGGTCACTCGGTTCGAGTCGGTTCGACTCTGGAGCTCAAAACGCGTCCGGGATTTTGACCCACCCCCACCGGTCTTCTGGCTCACTGTGCTCTCGCTTGCACCTGCTTGCACGCTCGCAATAACCTCACCCCTTTCTGGTGGTGGGCCAGGCCAATGGTGCGAGTGCAAAATAATCCCCTGACCCAGACAGAAGTCCGAGAAGTACCAAACTTTAGGAATGGCTCCGCCCGCAGAGCGAATGCGCCGTCGTCGTCTGTCTCCCACTCATTGGGGCAGTGCGGCCTGAAAGGCGTGCGAGTGAGACAGGGCGACAAAGCGCGGTGCGGGCCGTGTCAGAAACCCCCTTTAGAATCTAGTCTAGACGGCGGCGCTGGTGCTCTCAAGGCGCTGCCGGGGGGAAGGAGGAGGAGGGAAGTCCATACAGTGACCTTTGGAAAAAGAGGGGGAGGGGGGGTAAATGAATTGCCGAATTGCCTCTCCAATCCGCGCCAGTGCCGCCAGTGCGCGCCCCCGTCGCAGAGGAGCCCCCCGCCCACGCAGCATCATCGGGCTCTTATCACGGGGGCCAAGGTCAAACTTTCTCGCACTGCGTGTGGACATCACCACGCCACGGGGGAGAGGGGGGAGGGGGTAGGGGGCTGTTTAGGGTAAGGGGGGGGGTAAGGGAGGTGAGGGGAAAGGGGGGAAGGGAAAATTTGGGCGAGGTTTACGTCTCACCCAATTGGGCGAGGGGGGTGTTGCCTGTTTAGGGTAAGCGGCGGGGTAAGGGGGTGTATAGGGTTAGGAGGGCTATGAGCTAGTTAGGCCAAATTTGGGGGGGTTTCCTCACCCAATCGGGCGAGGTTGTCGGCCATTGGAGACACCGATGTTTCATGACACGCAAAAGGGCAGCGTCAACTTTTTCATATAATAGTGATAATAGTAGGTACTGCCCGTATCGCACGTCTGCGGTGAGGAAGCGGGGGGGGTCGCAAAAGTCTGCAAGGAGGGTGATACGGGGGGTTAGGGGAAGGGATACCGAGGCGCGTTTGTTTAAAAGGAATGAAATACGAAGGATTGTTTCCAAAACAGGACATCTACGGGGAATGAAATGCCCTCCTCATTTAAAAACTTTTCGAAGTTTAGACATACTCACTAACTAAAATCTTGGGGATACGAAGAAAAAGTTCGCAAACAAGTATTTGCCAAGTCTGCTTCATATGCTCAAAATACTGTTATACAAACTGCTTTTATAAAAGCCAAATAGTTTGAAGGTTTTCTCAGTGCCCAGATACCTTTCGAATATTCTACAATCTTTCGTCAATGCTGCGGGAAACGTTTCTGGCTTGCCCAAGAAACTGTGGCAAAAACGGAGTGATTTGAACAGGGCCCTGGTAAGCACTACCCATGTCAATGTTCTCCGTAGGCTCTTACAGTATTTTCCGTAGGACCGCACAGTATTCTCCGTAGGACCTTACAGTGATCTCCGTAGGACTACACCGTCTTCCAGGTCCTACGGAGAATACTGTGCGGTCCTACGGAGAATACTGTAAGAGCCTACGGAGAATGTTGATAAGAGGGCTACGGAGAATCCTGGCAAAAAAATTAACAGAATTTTCCGTACCTTTTTGCCACAGTGAACTCCCTGGAGAAATATCGGGAGAAACCGCCTGTGTCTTTACCATAGGCTTTCTGGGAAAACCAAGTACACCGTTTTTACCGTGTTCATACGTATTATTGAGATGAACGCTGCTGCGTAGACAACTTTCTGGCTTGCCACAAGCAAAGGATATTGCAAAATGAAGGAGTCGAATTTGAACAGGCAGACGTCCTAAATCCGGTCATGCTGGGCACTATACAACCGAGGGGGTGTGCACTCGCGTAATAGTCGGTTCACTCTATCTGTAATAGCACGCGTAATAATACGCGTAATAGTCGCGTTATAGCAGAAATTGTCAAAATTTGATCAATTTTGGTGCGTTTTAGGCAGTTTATAGCTAAATCCCGATTAATTTGTGGCGTAATAGCGTAATAGTACACAGGTTCAGAGAGCGCATACCCCCTCGTATACAACGTTCCAATGCTGGTCGTTTAAGGCATCTTGCATAGACACCGGAAAATTGAAGGTACCAAGCGGGTCGGCCACCGGCTCCCCTTCCCCGGAGTCGGGGAGGCTCAGGGGCTGAGAAGCTCGGACGCCGCGAGGGGCCACAGCTGCAGGGGGATGGAATGGGGTTGAGGTTGAGTGGAGCATGGAGTGGCGTGATCTGATCGGGGAGCCGCGACGTCAGAGCGCTCCAGACTGCCTGCGTCACCGCCGACCGCCACCGCCCGGTCCAGTGAACTTGAACTGGCACCCCGACAGTGGAGTGGATTGGCCCCGATTGGCCGCCCACGCGGCGCAGCGGCGCACTGCACGGCGTTTCCAGCGAATGGGCGACTCGTCCCCGGAAAGCGGACAAGGAGGAAGACGGACAGGCCTCGCCGTCTCGCTCGCACGTCGGCACGGCGCACAGTGGGCCAGAAGACCGGTGGAGGCGGCCAAACCTCTAGACGCGTTTTGAGCTCCAGAGTCGCTAAATGGGACTCGAACCGAACGTGTGACCCCACCAATGGATTGCTCTCTGAACGAGGAATCCATTGGTGGGGTCACACGTTCGGTTCGAGGCCTGTTTAGCGACTCTGGAGCTCAAAACGCGTCTAGAGGTTTGGCCGCCTCCACCGGTCTTGGCCCACTGTACGGCGCAGAACAAATGGAGAAGGCGGGGCGCAGCGAAGAGCGGAACCAGATTTGCCAACGCAATTCCGACGGCGGGCGTCGCGTCCTCTCGGCGAGCAGCGCGGGCAGGAGAGACAATTTTCACCGAAGTGGGTGACAACACTGTGAAACCGAGTGCACTGATAATCCAAGTGTGGGACAGGCATGCACTACATAACGTGGGACAAACTGTCCCACGCTTGTAAGCGTGGGACAAAATGTCCACGTTTGCAAGCGTGGACAAACCGTGTTACACGCTTACAAGCGTGGGACAAACCGTGTCCCACACTTACAAGCGTGGGACAAATCCGTGTCCCACACTTACAAGCGTGGGACAAACGGTGTCCCACGTTTGTAAGCGTGGGACAAATCCGTGTCCCACACTTGCAAGCGTGGGACAAACCGTGTCCCACGCTTGCAAGCGTGGGACATTTTGTCCCACGTTATCTAGTGCATGCCTGTCCCACACTTGGATTTTCAGTGTGCGCAGGACTCCACGCTCGGAAGGCGGAGGTGTGGCGTCTTCAGTCTTCGCACCGTTGCAA